ATCTTGTACTGAAAGTGTGCGTACTGTGAGCAATCACAAAAGAAAAGAAGTATCAACTATCTTCCACTTTGTTGCAGTGGTTGGTCATATCAGTGATCTAGTATTTAAGTATTTAAGTACTTCTATCCAATACTACTTGGCACAATGTTAGATGTGCTCTTCTTTTTCTTTGCGGCCTATTACTTTCTTGCGCACGCACTTGAAAGCTCACTTTTTTTTGGATCTAGAGTTTCAGGCGTAACTGCAAGTGCACTTTTGTTGTGTCGATAAGTTGATCCCTGATTTAGCGCTACAAAACTTTTTTTGGTAGTCACAAACAGAAATACTTTGCGCACTAAGCTATTTATCAACACTGCTTTAATTAATAAGTTTTAGCTTTACTTTTGACTGGATGATGACAACAAACGAAGGTGTTGGCTAATTAGACTAATTATACTCCGTCAGTCCAAACTCCAACTTTGATTTGATGGTCAGCAGTGCTCATCAGCTCATCAGTTTTTTGCTATAAAACTCCACTCAAACACCGATCACCTTCTGTCGATGATGATCCAGGTCTGCTGCAGTCATCGACTATCATTTTAGATTTTTGTTATTTAAATTCTCATATACTCAAAGCAAAATGCTTCTACAAGCCCTCTCACTTACCTTCCTTTTAGGAGTGGCTTTCGGTAAGCTTATCAAATCTTCAACAAAAACTTTCAATAACNCTCATATACTCAAAGCAAAATGCTTCTACAAGCCCTCTCACTTACCTTCCTTTTAGGAGTGGCTTTCGGTAAGCTTATCAAATCTTCAACAAAAACTTTCAATAACTTTTTTTCCTTTTTTCAGCCGCTCCCAGCACAACTCCTCATCCCTCAAAGGCTCCACTATGTTCCACGCCAGGCTGCAAAGAGGCGGCGGCCATTTTCAAGAACGCCATGAACGCCACCGTTGATCCTTGCGTTGATTTTTACGAATACTCCTGCGGCGGCTGGGTCGCCACTCATCCCATTCCTGCCTGGAAGTCCCGAACCGGTGTCACCGAAGAGCTGGAGGAGGTGCAGACGGCGCAGATGAAGAAGCTTCTCGAGGCTTTTGACCTAAAGAAAGTGGACGCAAAGAAGGTCGCTGCTTCTGTCTCTCTGGCCGCGTACTTTTACCAAAGTTGCGTCAAGCTAGGGTCGGAGTCAAAAGAGGTCGGTGTGAAGCAGCTAAAGGAGGTGATCAGCAGCATTCGAGGCCACCAGGACTGGAAGCTGGGGCAGAAAGTGAAACCGGAAGAGTCGAAGACTGTTCCAAAGTGGGAAGAGGGGCTGGTGCGCCTCTTTGCCCAGGGAGCCATTGACGCCATCTTCTCCGTCTCAGTGTCGCCCGATCCGAAGAACGTCTCGCACTTGGTTATCAATGTAAGCGTTTTCAAAACCTTAATCTTTTCTTTTTAACTTATAATTTCTCCTCTTTTTTTATCAGCTGGACCCAGCCGGCCTAGGCCTGCCTGAGAACGACCTCGCCAACTTGACTCGAAACGTCAAGCTGGTGAACGCCTACAAGAAGATCATTAGCCAAACGGCCACCGTTCTCTGCCCAACGGGCAAGTGCGCCGCCCACGACCTGGAGACGGACATCGCCGAGCTGATCCAACTCGAATCGGACTTCGCCAAGGCGCTGATGCCCCTCGAGGACCGGCGCGATCCGGAGAAGACGTACAACAAGCTGACGTTGACTGAGCTGGCCAAGCGAACCAAATTCGACTGGCTGAAGAAGTACCTCCTTCCTCTATGGACCGCGCTGGGCGTGGAGCACACGGCGGCCATTGACGGCAGTACCACTGTGCTCGCCTCCGACCTGGGGTACCTAGAGAAGGCGGTGGCCATTCTGGAGAGGACCAGCGCCCGCGTGGTTGATA